CCAATCCACCCTCAAATACGGACAGCGCCACCCCACGTCGGAGGGGGCCGGAGTGGCGTACAAAAACATTAAAAAATATTTAGGGGTATTTAATTGAATTAACAAATTTAGGAGGTTTAAAAAGTTGAATAAAGTTGAATAATATTGTGAGTTTTTCGATATTTACTGTTTAACTTTTTGGGAATACTAAAAGTAATATTTCCAAAATCCAACCAAACGAAGCCATGAATTTACTAGGGATGAGATGCTAAGTGTCAAGTTATTATTAGCCCAAAAACTAGGGGCAGCTTCAACACCGTACTGTTTTGACGTGTGTTGTATAAATTAATTTTTTTTAAGGGAGAATGTTTTAGGGATTACGCCTCAGTTTTTATAATTATTATTTATAACACTTTGTGGAAAATAATAAAAACCATTTTCAGTTTCAACGTTACCTAATTCCGTTAATTTGTAAATTAAAATTGAATATATAGAATTGATACGGTGGGGACCCACCACGCGAATATTGATTTAAGCCAATATAGACATGGTGGAAGAGATGGAAAGGTGAACAAGGCATTTAAGTTTCGAGCCGGCTGATTTCCATGAAGTGACATGTGTTGTAAGGCTGTATACATCTTGAGTAAAAGAAACCTATTCTGACAGATGTTGTTTACGAGGGGAATACTGACAACTGAAACTTTATTGCACATTAATATGGGTTGGTGAAGAAGACTTAAAAGTTAGACTCGTAGTAACCAAAATATTTCTAAAAAGCAAAAAACATGATCGGGGACGTGATAATAAGTGTAAAAAAAATATATAATATAGTTATATAATTGATTCAAGTTTGAGTCGTTAAATTAAAATAGTAAGAATAGATTTAACATGATTTTTTTAGAGGAGATTATAATATAATTTCTTAAGTTTAATTTCCTATCAAAATAAAAGATAAAAAAAATGATCTAATAAGATTTTTCAACTGAGACAAAGATTTAAATAACAGTAAATGAAATAAAGCAAAAATCCCTGAACCCACCCTTTTAGTTGGCATTAATGTATTGAACTGGTCCTACTGAAAAGCTTTCAATTTATATTGGTGGACATCCACCATGTGAGGGTTCATTAACTGACACGAATCTGCTTTTGTTTACAATGTGTACAATCGATTCACTGCGATCGGTTGTGACACTTATTCTATGATGATCAACAAACATCATAGTGATCAACGACTGGCAGATGCCTGAAATCAATGAAACGCAAACTAAATGAAATAAAACAATAAATTCGTGAACACCATTTTAGTTGGGTATTAATGTATTTAACTGATCTATAGAAAAGCTTTCAATTTAATATTGGTGGAAACCCACCATCTGATGGATTCATTAACTGACACGAACCTGCTTTTCTTTTTATATGTGTACAATGGATTCATTATCGTAGCCAGATTGGTCTTCAATCCCTTCATTCCAGTAATTGAGAATCATGAGGATACTAGCCTAAAATAGGACTAATGTTTTATTTCTTTCTTATATTAGTTATGACTATATATATTATATTAAAACTCTTTCATTTCCTTAATGTACATAACAAATTAATATTTGATATTTTTGATCTTACTGTTTTGATGTTTTGTAGATTACCAATCTTTTATTTTGGTTCGGTTCAGAATAAATTTAAAAGATTAGAAGAAGATAAGATTAATTCTTGAGGATGGTGCGCATATAACTTTATTTAATGAAATTTATATAATATGGTGTTTCTTTTTGATGGCTCAAATCAAACAACAAACGCCCACAATGAAAACCAGTCAGGCCCATCAGATGGATAAGTCATACAACCAGTAATATAGGGCCTCACGAGGCTTGGTCCTTTATTACAAGGCTTCTGTCTCGTTTCAGATACATTAAAATGGGAAGGAGGAGAAGACTCTTACAACGAGACAAAGACTTGAAGTAACAGTAAATGAAATAAAACAATAAATCCCTGAACCCACCCTTTCAGTTGCCATTAATACCGAATTCCACCAGCTAACAAAAATTATGTATAGCAACAATTGATTATTATACAGAGAGAAAAACAGTTTATTTCTATTTTGATTGCAACCAATTCAATTAAATTGTTGGCCACTATTTGCAGAACATGACCAACGATCTGTGATCTAAGTCATAATTGGCGGTCTAATAACTTAAATTTGATTATACAGGGAGTTGTGTGATCTTTGGCTTTGATTATGAGATCTATATTGCTAGATATCTATATGCTAATCGGAGATTGTGTCCGCTTTGAATTTCTCACACAACAAAATTCGATCATTTTACTTCTGTAATTTTGTTAAGAGTATTTAATGTATTTTTTAAAGGGGTAGACACTATAATTGAAGAATCTATGAAATGGATTTTATGAGGTGGACGTTGTTACTAAAATAGATTTTCCATATAGAAAAAGTCGTTTAAAATAAAATTATATGTAATCATAACTCAAACAAAAGTAAAGTGTGATCAATAGAAATTAATAAAAAATAATAAAAAAAACCCTAAAAGTTATAGAATTTTAAAAAGATGATTTTTTTTATTGAAATTAATCAGAAACCAAGTTGGATAAATCGTGAAAACATTTAATTAACGTTTCCTTTGGGATCTTGTAACCATTCTCTTTTGTTGCTTGATCCATTTTATATAAGCATTATGGCCGAGAGGGCCGGGTTTAAATTGAATTGGCCTAGTATTTCTAAGCCCAAGTTTTTTCTTCTTTAATTTTTTTTGAATTCTTTTCAAAGAGCTTATACAGATAATGATTAATATGAAATTAATAACATAGAGTGTGAGATTATTAATACATATAGATTCTTTACAATAGATGTTAGATTTGCTATTAATGTTTTATGTTATCCTACTAATCTCACGTTTCACGTTATATTATCAGTTTTTGTAATATTTTATATTTTGCAGTACTAATCTATTACTCGACATATTACCAATCTCGTATTTAAATAAACCTTATGTTTAATATTTTTTTCATTCAATATATCGAACTCCTAACTCATAGAGTACTAATTGAAAGCAAATTAAATCTTAATTTCATAGAGCATGAATATCACATTACAAAAGTTTTAACTCTGTTAATTATCTAATCGTCCTTCCAATTCTATTTTGACAGCTTCAATACCTTCAGTTTCAGTCAAAATTCTTGATGCAAAATTCCAAACACTAATATTTACCTAAAGGTTTTCAGAATTCAGTTTCGGATTCTAATCTTTTCATTCACAAACAAACTTCTTTTGTGACAGATGTTCTTACTATGTAGACGATATTCTTTTTACTGGTTCAAATGCTTCTTACATTCATCAGTTAGTGCAAGAACTCAATTTTACTTATTTGCTCTCAAAACACTTGGCTATCTCCATTTTTTTCTTACATTGGAAGCAACAAGAATGTTTACTGGTAATCATCTTAAACAAACTAAATATGCCACTGTTCTTCTTACAAGAACTAAAATTTTGGAAGTTCATGCTTGTTCCACTCTTGTGGCTCTTGGCACTAGATTATTTTCTACAGATAGTGCAATTTTTGACGATCCTAGTTTGTATGGGATTATGTAGGGGCATTGCAAGAAACTTTGTCTGTTTCTTTGTTTCTTTGTTTGTTTTTTTTTTTTTTTTTTTTTCTATTGTAATAAGCTTTTAAAGTTTTTTAAATTATTATATTGATTTAGATGATTAGTATTATTACTCATTTAAAATACTTTACTAAAATAACTTTTATTACTATTGATTTTTGAAAAAAAGTTGACCAGAAACCCGACTATACTGTAGCTGCTTTAGCCACTGGATTATGACATGTGAATTAAATCATCAATTACAAAAGAAAAAAAAAGAAAGACACTGCAATTTTAATGTGATTTAACTTAAAGGCTACATCCACAAATGAAAGGAAAGACAATAAAATCTCAAAGAATCAAAAGTGAAAATAGAATTCATACAAATTGATAAGCCAAAAAAAGGACATTATCCCAAGAAGAGGCCGATCCATAATACTTTCCAGGCCCAAAACAAATGGTCTCCCATGAACGATCAATATGGTCATTTCCATCTCTTCAAATTCATAAATAAATCAGTTTTTAAGTTGTCTTTTGATTAATGAAACTTCCTCCCAAGAACAAGATATTTGTTTATTTACATGAGATGATGAAGTCAATGGTCAATTAGTAATGAAATCATCATGGTCCCATGAATATTAACTATGAGATATTGATGGAGAATAAAGTTGCAGAAACACGTTACAAACCATGAAACAAGTTTTGGATAATTTATAAGAATCTGCTTTTCATTAAGAAAATAATCATACTAGAGCCATTCATTAAATACCTTGTGAAAATGAAGCTCGGATTGAGAAAGATATTGAATTCTCCTTGTTTTTTCTAGCTCCCATTTTTATGCTAAAAATTTAATAGTCAGTTTAAGCACAGGGGTACTGATTCCATTTTTAGTTAAAACGATGATTGTTACTCTCAAAATGACTATTAGCAAAAGGTCAAGTGATCGCCATTTCACAAGATAAAAGATTAAAAGCCAGAACTTTGGTTTTAAAAACTTAAGGACGTTCACACCTAAGAATAATATATATTAGATAAAAACACAAGAAAAGAGGGTATTATTATTTTATTATTATTATATTATATATTAAAAAAAAAAAAAATTCATCTTTATCCGTCTCACAAACATAAAGTAGCAGAAAATTAATGTTAAAACCACTCAGAAACGAGCTTGTTTTTAACTAGTAAACACAAACAAGAACCATAGTTCATGTATAGGGGAATTTTGAGTGCATTCCCATGTTCATATTCCAGTATTGCAGGAGCAGCCATCTGATTTTTGCTTTTCCCAAAACAGAGGGATCGTTTATGTATATAGTCATGACCCAATTTTGGTCAACAACGAAGGCAGATTTGATTCCTGGGACGTCGTTGAATAAAACTCTGATACGATTTCATAATTAAACGTAGTATTTGAACGAATGGGGCTATTGATCATAGCAACCTCCTGTTTTTACTTTCAGAGGATCACAAGCACAAATTGTCAGACACCCATGGCCACCAGTATTTGAATGCCCCTCATACGACGTTTCGTCGATCTTGGCATACTTTTTACAACCAGTGGCAATGAAGCTACTGTGCTTATTTGTAAAGAAAAATGGTGATCCTGTAAGGTTAATACCTTTAAAAGTGCTTTCTGAAGAAATTGCAGGCATTTCGACGCCTATCCCGAAGCCCATAGCAGCGGCGTCTTCTGCTAGTTTCAGCTTCATCTTCGTCAAGAAAGGTTGTGCAGAGGCAGTAGAAGATTTGTTGCAGGTTATTTCAAACCATTCATTGAAGAAGCAGCCTTTTCCAATTCCAAAGGGATATCTTATTTGGACATTTCCACAACTCGTTTGACATGAAGCTTCTGATGCTTTGAATTTGATTGTCCAGAGTAACAAGACTATGATCTGCAATAACAACAAATGAAGACGATTGACAGCCATAATCAACTAATTAATATTTCTGACTGCCCCTCGCTCCTTTACTTTGAGAATTAATTTCATGGAAATTCAACATAAACGTTAGCTATATATATAGAAATGGAAGACTGTCGTATAGACTACCCTTAAAGTTTTATAATTTATTATTTGGATAATAACTTTTGCGCTATTTATCTAATGAAACCTCAAAGTTTAAAAAATGCATCACTGATACTCCTTTGTCTTATCAAATGGACCTTTAAATTTAAAAACTTTATCACTGATATCTCTTTGCCTTGATTCCGGTCATTACACTATAATCAAGTTTATAAAACAATTTCTTATAAGCTCAAAGTATTTGTTACAAAATCAAAGTTATCATTTTATCCATCTAACACTAACTGTAACATAAAGAAATTGAGGTAAAGGGGTATCAGTGATATAGTTTTCAAACTTTGAAGGTCTATGTGAGAAAAATACAAAAGTTATCATCCAATAATAAATTTAAAAACCTTAGGGATATTAGTCTATTACATTCTCTTTATAGAAATAAGTGCTTTAATATTGCTCACATCACATTGCGGCTTCCACCAATAAGGTTAAGTGGCTCTTTGGAATAGGGGTGCAAGTGAGTCAAGCGACTCGTGAGCTCGACGCAAAACTCAAATCGAATAGATTTTTGTTGAGTTGAGCTCGAGTAGTGAGTCAAGCCAAGTTCGAGTTTTTAAATACTCGACTCGAGCAGTTTGCGAGTTTAATCAAGATTTGCATACCTTATGTAATTTTTAATGTAAATATATACACATACATATTATTTATATTGACACCTAAATAATATCATTTATCTATTTTACAAAATTTCAATAATCTAATCAAACCAGTGTTCTAATACCCGACCTAGGGTGTCACTCAACCAAGGGGTTGAGTCTTGGGTTGATTAGTCTGACCGGTCCTGTTGGTGGTATAATCGTTGATCCAATAAATTTGAAATCTAGTAAATACACCCCTAATAAATATACATAAGTCTCTGTATGTTTGAAATCTAGCAAACACGCCTTTTTTATCTGATCGCACAATTAGGGTTTGACTTTTCTATGCCAAATTTTGGTTGATTTTGATGGCCAAAATTCATTTTGACACCACCACAAGCCTCTACTCTACAAAACCCCTTTAACCTTGACACTTGGTAGCCCTTTATTCGCTAGTCGTAACTCACATATAATACCGTCGCGATTACATAGGTCACACTAGCTCACCTCCATGACTCATACAAACCACACTCCACGCCTGTATCACCTTGAGGCCAGCTTAATCACTCAATCCATACTTCTCTCGGCTCTAGAGACTAGTGTAGATATTGAAGACTAGAAGAATGGAGGAACACAGACTCAATTGTTCTGCGATTCATTTTCTTGAATATTGAAAAAAAATAAAAGAAATAAATAGATTACAAGGGTAAGAAAATTCTGAAAAGAAATTTCTCTTACAAGGAAAGATTAAAAAGAAATCAAGAAGATTTGGCAATTAGACAACCAGTCTTCTCATAACAGGAAAGTGTTAGCTAATACTAACTAGGCTAGAAAATTAACTCCTAAATACATAAATAGTACATACAATAGTTGTACATAGAATCCTTAATAAGGAAATAAAACAAACAATGGAAAGCAAGATGGGCTGTGGCGCTGCAGNCCAGCTTAATCACTCAATCCATACTTCTCTCGGCTCTAGAGACTAGTGTAGATATTGAAGACTAGAAGAATGGAGGAACACAGACTAAATTGTTCTGCGATTCATTTTCTTGAATATTGAAAAAAAATAAAAGAAATAAATAGATTACAAGGGTAAGAAAATTCTGAAAAGAAATTTCTCTTACAAGGAAAGATTAAAAAGAAATCAAGAAGATTTGGCAATTAGACAACCAGTCTTCTCATAACAGGAAAGTGTTAGCTAATACTAACTAGGCTAGAAAATTAACTCCTAAATACATAAATAGTACATACAATAGTTGTACATAGAATCCTTAATAAGGAAATAAAACAAACAATGGAAAGCAAGATGGGCTGTAGCGCTGCAGACCAGCAGTTGGGCTATTGGCGCCGGGGCGCTTACTCGGTGAAGGAATGAAGATGTTGCAGGTGAGGGAACGAGGCTCGCATTTCAACAACTAGATCTATCTTTCTCGAGAAAAAATTGGTGAGTCCACCCTCCAAAGTCTATATCCCCTTTCTGAAATTTGTTTATTTTGCTTGTATATTTGAGTCGAGCTCAATTTTGATTTGGTGGTAATGTAATCAAGTCGAGTCAATTCTAAAGCATGAGCTCAATTTTGACTCGGTTGTAATCCAATCAAGCTCGAGTCAATTGTTTATCCTTTTGAGTCGAGCTTGAGTCTGAATATTGAAGTTCAAGCTCGAGTTTTTCAATACTTAGCTTGATTGCAACCCTAGTTTGGAATATAATAATCATTAGGTCCACTTAATAGAAACAGTGATACACATTATTCTAGTCATAATTGAGGTTGGTGTGTCAAAAAGGATAGAAAAAGTATTTGTATAAAAGCTTCTATCTTTATTAGGTATGAACCTAACTTAATTTAGTTACATTTAATTATGGGTAATGCTATTTGTATAAACTCTTTGTACAGAGAGAGTTTGTACAAATCTATGTGGCACACCACAAAACATGTCATATGGTATTGAGACCTACGTAAGTTAATGTCACATTAATGTTATATGGGCTTTTATGTCACGTGGTACTCATATAGCATGTCACGTAAGTTTATACAAATATCATTACCTTTTTATTATATATTTTAGATTTTTATAAGCGTTAATTGACAATTATTTTATTTTCTTTGGGCATGTTAATTTATGTTTAATGAGATTAGGTACTATAATAGAAACAATATCCTGTTAAGTAAGAGATTAAATGGATATTCCCATTGTAGAAACGTCAACAAAGTGTATAAGAAAAAAGTTTAAGTCTTAAAGGCCAAGAGGGAGTTTTTAGTCTTAAAGGGCAAAAGGGTGTTTTTATCATAAGAAACTTCGAAATTATTGAACGATTGATATTATACTTGTGATGTATGAATGAAGGTTCTATTGGAAAGTTAATTTTCTATCATTTGTTGTCGGTCTGTAGAGAAAAATATTTAGAAAAAGAAATCTCTGTTACTTTTCTTATCGATATGTGCAACTTAATATGACTTCTGTCAATCAAAAGATCAACATCTATAAGATAGCCCACCCCTTTCTTTGAGAAAATCCATGGAAATTCTACATAAACGTTAACGTTAACTGTATCTTCATGCTTTATGTTTACTAGAAACCAAATCATGTTTGCGTGTTTGAAAGTTGCTCAAGGGTCATTATATTAATAAAAACAATTGCATAATTCTATAGCTTTACCTACTTTAATCTAAAGTTTCCACCGCCACACGAAATAATAAAATAATTATGAAATAAGATATTCAATTCAATACTTTACGACTTAATATCTTTTAAATATTTATATCGCAATCAATATTAGTTTTTCACTTGACTTCGTTTTACTTTTGAAATTTTATATGCATCAACTTGTTAGGGAATTTCTCAGAATAAGGGGACAACTTAAACAATTGCCTTCTTTGCCTCCAAAGTTAAAACTTACCTCACCATTTTATATGGAAACATAGATTAAAGATACAAAGGTGGACTAGGAGTCAATTGTAGGAGAGTTAGATCTTTACAAAATCTAACAAATCTTCGGCATGCAATATGAACACTAAAAAGAGAGAGATTACATATACGTAAGCCCATAAAATCACAAAAAGCAGAACACATCATCGCCAAACTCCTATCCAATTAATAATAAATGAAAAAAAAAAAAAAAAGTATCTCAGAAATATTTTGTGAGAGACATCGAAAGAGCAGTAAAAAATATGGTCATCTCTGACAAAACACAGAAGAGTAAGAGCTGAACATTTCAACAAATTCTTCGCCTTCTTTACTTTACCATAAGTTGCAACACTCTCCATAGGTAAAGAGGGGTAACTCGGAATTTTTACTTAAAAGCATATTTATTCTAGACTATTGGAATGTTTTGATTTTCTATCATTTGTTGTCGTATGTAGTAAAATATTTAGAAAAAGAGTGGCGGTGCTTAATTGCTTCTCTCTCTTTTGGGAGACACTAGAAATTTATGTTACGTTTCTTGTCAGTATTTGTGCAACTTAAATATGACTTCTGTCCGTCAAAAAAATCAACATATATAAGATAGTCCATCCCTTTCTTTGATAAGATCCGTGGAAATTCTACACAAACGTTAACTTTATCTTCACGCTTTATGTCTAATAGAAACCAAATCATCTTTGCGTGTTTGAAAGTTGCTCAAGGATCATTATATTAATAAAAACAATGGTATGATTTTATATGCGTCAAATTGTTAGGTAATTTCTCAGAATAAGGGGACAATTAATTCAGCTTCCATTGAAATATATAATTGCATTCTTTGCCACCAAAGTTGAAACTTACCTAACCTTTTTTCTTTTTCTTTTTTCTAATAGGAAACACCGGTATATTGAAATATAGATTAAAGATATACAAAGGTGGACTAGAAGTCAACTGTAGGAGAGATAGATCTTTACAAAATCTAACAAATCTTGGGTATGCAATATGAACACTAAAAAGAGAGAGACTACATATACATCAGCATGAAAAAAAAAAAAAAAAGGTATTTTGGAAATATTTTGTGAGAGACATCGAAAGAGTAGTAAAAAATCTGGTCGTTTACCCCTTTCAAAGATTGGCCTTTTTTTCTCTTTCATGCCAAATTACCCACAAAAGAGTAAGAACTGAACATTTCAACAAAAGTCTTAGCCTCCTTTAGTTTACCATAAGTTGCAACACTCTCCATAAATAAAGAAGGGCAACTCTCGGAGTTTTCCACTGAAATTTTACTTAAATGCATGTCTCCTCATGGCATTGATAAAAACATATTTATTCTAAACTATGATTGATTGAAAGTGATACTCAGTTCAATTTTCTTAATCTAAGAGTCTATATATGAAATTAGAGCCGACAATGGGTCGTGTTATGTCTAAAAATTCAAGACCGTCGTTGGCCATGCCATGCTAAGGCCTGCAAAAATTTGTGCCTTGTCGTGTCGGCTAGCCAAATCTGAAGGTCCACAACACGGCCTGCTATTAGGGGTGAGCGATTCCAAGTACCCTATATTTTTTGGAAGAACCAGAATCAGAACCGTATAGTACAAGTTCTTAACATCAAGGAACCGGAACCAAAAATGCAAGTTCCGATTCCTTTCTCGGGTACCTTGTAAAAAATAATTACACCCTATTAGTTTAAAAAATGACAAAAATACCTTAAAAGTTTACAAATACACCCTTAACAAAATTTGATTACTCATTCATGTGTGTCCAATTAATATGACTCATAAATCCGCTAATATCTAGGAAACACTTGAATTCAATCAATTGATCATAATTCACATAAAATTCCTTAATCAAAACTAAAACACAAACGCTTAAATTAATTAATTAAACAATCATACTATAAATCTATAATTTAATATTATAATTAATTAAATTTTTAATCATTTAATTAAGTATTGTACTAATGTTTATAATGAAATATTATAATTAATTAAGTAATCATTTGTTTGTAATGTAATATTATAATTAATTAAGTAATTATACTATAAATTTATAATATAATGTTATAATTAATTAAATTTCTAATTATTTAATTAAGTATTGTACTAATGTAGTAAGTTACTAATGTTTATAATATAATGTTATAATTAATTAAATAATTATTTAATTATGTAATGTTATAATTAATTATGTGATCATACTATAATGTAAAGTTATAATAAATTAAGTAATAATACTATAAATCTTTAATGTAATATTATAATTAATTAAATTTCTAATCATTTAATTAAATAATCATTTGTTTATAATGTAATATTATTATTAATTAAGTAATCATACTATAAATTTATAATGTAATGTTATAATTAATTAAATTTCTAATTATTTAATTAAGTATTGTGCTAATATAATAAATTACTAGTGTTTATAATATAATGTCATAATTAATTAAGTAATCATTTAATTATGTAATGTTATAATATATTATGTGATCATACTATAATATAATGTTATAATAAATTAAGTAATTATACTATAAATATTTAATGTAATATTATAATTAATTAAATTTCTAATTATTTAATTAAGTATTGTACTAATGTTTATAATAGAATGTTATAATTAATTAAGTAATCATTTAATTAAATAATCATTTGTTTATAATGTAATGTTATAATTAATTAAGTAATTATACTATAAATCTATAATGTAATGTTACAATTATTTAAATTTCTAATTATTTAATTAAATAATGTACTAAATTATTAATATAATGTTATAAACTTATACTTAATTAAGTAATCATTTAATGATAATGTAATGTTATAATTGAGTAAATAATTATTTAACTAGTAATATATTAATGTTTATCAATATATCATATAAGATTAATTAATTACTAATTTACTACAGATATACTTAGAACTTGATAATTGAAGTAAATAAATAAATGTTATATTATTATTCAATCAAATATATTATTTTATTCAAAAATCATTTTTTTAATAACATTAAAACACTTTTAATTGGTTCTAATTTCAATTATACACTTACTTAATCAAATCTTTAATATTAATATATTAAATTTTTTATATGTTGTGGTTTATATGTAAAAAGTATAATTGTATATTTATTTAATTAGGTTATTGTAAAAATTTAATCTTTTTCCATTTGAAATTTTTTATATGTAAAATTACATTAGACCCCCCATCCTTAATAGATATTTTGTTTCAGCCCAAGTTTCAAAACAGGTCCTAAACTGGGTACTCGCTGTAGGTTCCAAGCTGTGTACCCACTGCAGGTTCTTTTTTTCAGATTTCGATTTTGATTCCTCCACATGTAAGAACGAGAACCGGAACCGCACAATATTGGTTCCAAAAAAAAGGGAATTGGAACCTACTCATATAGTATCGGTTCTGGATAGGTTTCAGTTCTGATTTTGGGTCTACCCACAGGTTTCAGTTCTACCCGCTACCCTTGCTCACTCCTACCCGCTATATAGCGTGTCATGCTAGGGGCCTAGCACGCAGGTCAACCCATAATTTTTTTTTAATATTTATAAATTATGGTAATTTTGATTTATTACTAATAATTATTATAAAATATTTTTATATGTTATATTTAGTGACATTTTGTATTTGTATTAATTAAAAAAAAAATATAATCACTATGAAATATAATAAAATAATGAGAAATTGAAATATTAACCAAAAAAATATATAATAATTGAATTTCAACACTTTTTATTACTTATAATTATAAATTACAAATACAAACTTAGAAATTAAGATTAAGAATTAACATTAAGAATTACATCTCCATTAGAAATACAAATACAAATACAATATATTTTTTTTATACTTTTTTTAATAGGCAGTGTCACGCCAGCCCACGTGCCTTTTTTTAAGGCCCCAACACAGCCTCGCATTATTGTGTGTCGTGCCAACCCATGTCAAGCTACTTTTAAGGTGGGTCGTGCCGGCACGTAGGTTGGCATGTGGCTAGCTCTATATGAAATTGATTTTATAAAGTGATAATCGATTCATTTTTCTTGAAGTTTTTAACAAGTCATGAAGTACTATTGTCTTTATCTTAAATTATGATTAATTTTTGTCTGGTTGTATGGTTCAGCCATAAACAAAACATTATTGTTAAATGAAAGAAATGTATTTTAAGGAAATTATAAGAATGATTTGGCTTCATTGCCTTTAGAAGACTTTATTAGTTGCTTTCTTTAAGATTTCAGTCACTTTACATAAATAGATATATGCAATGCTGGAACAAATAATGAGAATAATTAAGTTACTTGCGATGCTTTTTGATATACATTGAAAGTAAAAATTGGAAAGTTCAAATATCAAATTACTATTACGTAGAGACTATTTTGAGGACACAAGTAGAAACATATACATTCAACATAGGATAAGATACAACCAGAAACAAATTAATTATGTTGTTACCTTGTCACACATGCTTGAAATCAAAGGATTAGCTTATTGAAAACGTGGTACTATCCAAAAACGATCCAGTAAATGATGAACTTGTTTCATCACCATCTACATAATCAATCTCTTCACAATTTTCTTTCAAGATTGAACCTCTGTTGGATGTTCTAATACCCGCTAACTCCGTTGCTACTTCTCTCATTGTAGGTCTCCTCCTCCCATTTAAGTTTAGACATCTTCTTGTGAGATTAGCAAATGCCATTATCTCTTGTTCTCTACCATCCTTCAAAGCTCGAGCATCAAGTATTTCAAACAAACGTTTCTCTTTCATTATCTGAAGAAAATAGAATGCTAAACTTTTATCTTCTTCCAAGTTAGTTGAACGAATAGGTTTTTGTCCAGTTAAGAGCTCTGCAAGAACCACTCCAAAGCTATAAACATCACTTTTCTCTGTAAACTGACTTGATCGAAAATATTCAGGATCAAAGTATCCAAAGGTCCCATGCACTTGAGTGGTCAAGTGAGTCTGGTCAACTGCAATAGATCTTGAAGCTCCAAAGTCTGAAACTTTTGCTCGATATTTTTCATTCAAGAGTATGTTTGATGACTTGATATCTCGATGATATATAGGTAGAGAAGCCGATGAATGTAGGTAAGATAGAGCACCTGCAACTTCTATGGCAATACGTAGGCGTAAGTCCCAAGTGAGTGGAAATTCCTCATTTTTCTCATGTATATACTGAAAAAGAGTTCCGTTAGGAATGAATTCATAGACTAAAAGGGGAACTTCAGTCTCCAAACAACACCCTAACAATTGCACCACATTCCGATGATTAATTTGTGACAAAATTACCACCTCATTGATGAATACATCAACTTTACTTTCATCCACTTTCTTGGGCCTTTTAACAGCTATAATTCTTCCTTCCTCCAACATTCCTTTATACACAGTGCCTTGACCTCCTTCACCAAGGATACGATTCGCATTGTAGCTGTCAGTTGCCTTCTCCAATTCATTTGCGGTAAACAATTTTGGGTTCTCAATGTTGCCGTCAACGGAAGACATGCGTCGCTGTAATAACAAACCACCATTTTTTTTAAAGAATTTTTGCTTAAGCTTGTTTGCTTTCCTTCTTTTAACGAACTTGTACAACCACCGTGCTCCAATTACTAGCAACAACATCCCAAGCCCAGAACTGCAACCTGCACAACTCAAGTAAATATATATGTATATGATATATCAAGCTGTTGATCATTTGATAAAACAATTTGATGAAGATGTTATGGATATGCATACCTATGATGATAAAGTTTTATTCCTGGGACTTTTCAAGTAAGTATCAGCACTTAATGGGTAACAAATGGGTTTAATGTCACCGTTATGAGAAAAATTGGACGTATAACCATCGGGACATGTGGAGCAATCGTTGTGGCTTGTGATATTACAGAACAGTTACCTATACAAAAAAGAGATCAATTAAGAGAGAAAATATAAAATCAGATCACAAAAAAATTGAACATCATACAGAAGAAATGCGAACAGGAAACCTTTAAATTTGACTAATAGTACTTTAATTTGAATTCATGGTTTAAATCCGTACCTGTGCAGCCTGATTCTTTGTACTTGTCTTTTGGCTGACTGCAGACACAAAAATAGTCTAGTTTAATTGTGTCAAACAAAATCCTCTCTGTTACAAAATGTTTTTGTGGTTCATATGGTTCCGCACAATCCCCCATGTATCTCCCGAATTCCACATACAGGAACTTGTTTGCTTTCTTCCAAAACATTGGGTTGGATTGGCTAGGTAGTTTGTCTGGATCCAATCTTGCTCAACCATGACGGCAGATTTGCAGTTCTGGGGAAGCTTATATCAGAAAAAACTGAGACTTGAAGAAATGGTGCACATGAAATCATAGCAACTATTATTTTTAGCAGGATCACAGGTGCAATAGGCATACACCCATTGCTGATTGATTCGTATCTTCTGAACGTCGTGGTATAATTTTACAACCAGTGGCGATGAACTTATTGAGCTTATATGAAAAGTAAAACGGCGTTCCTGATAGGTTAACACCTTCCGTTTAATAACATACGCTTAATCCAATGGCCATCCATTGCTTCGACGAGAGATGTCTTCTGATAAATTCAGGTTCATGCTACTGAAGAAAGGTACTGGAGAGCCCGAAGAGTTGAACAAGTTACTGCAAACCATCATTGAAGTAGCAGCCTTCTCCAATTCCAAAAGGATATCTTATTTTGCGGACATTACCACAACTCGTGGACAATAAATTGCCGATGCTTTGATTGCCCAGACTAACAAAATATGATATGCAAATGAAGATGAACAGCCATAATTATTTAATCCTGACTGCACTCTTCTTTGAGAAATTTCATGGAGATTCAAAATAGATTTTAGCTGTAATATAGACATTGAGATAATTGCCTTCACCCCTTCAAGTTCTCTAGTTTAAAGGTTGGGATATACCACTTGATTGTGACAAATTTTAAGAAGAATTAGAGAGTCTAGGGGCAGAATATGGACTTTAAAACTAGGACAATATCAAAATGAGAGGTATTCCGTATGTAATAGTAACAATCATCTCAATGAATTGATTATAAAATTGTTTGATAAACTCAAATGAGTAAACCTACCGAGTAATGTTACACCCACACCTTTCTTACAAATTTTCTTTCACAATCTCGATATGGTAACTTATAATTGATCAACCACAATTTATCAAATTAAATTAGGTGATTATATAAAACTGACCAATTAAAACTGTTACGTCGAGATTGTGGAAGAGATTGTAGATATGTATTTTCAAATCTATATATTACAATGTGAGACATAGACTATAATTGACCAAAACTTTTCGGTGGATCAAATCTTGGTTTTTAGATCCTACGATACCCGATACGTATCATACGATACGATTCGATATATGTTGCCAACGGTACGTATCAGAGAGTGTATCATAAACCTTTCGATATGTTGATATGTATCTTACGATACGATATCCGTTCGTATCCTTAAAAATATCAATACAAATCGATACGACTTTATTAATTTGGATCAAAGACCCAAATAAAATTTTGGGTCAAAATCGGGTCACCCAACCCGATTCACTAAAACCTGCTCAAATTTACTCATTTTGCATGGAGAAAGTGAAGAGGGACATGTGTTACCCATTTTGCATGATAATAATATACAAGTTGAGATATAAATATTGACATTAACTTGAAAATGATATGAATAGTTGAGATAAAATAATATAAATTCTAATTTTGTGATTAATTTTGATTATGTAATATCATAATTTAAAGCTAATAATACTATAAATTTTTTTAATTAATCTTGGCTAAATTCAAACCATTTAAGTAAAGCTATGTGTTTGGCTAAATTGGGAGACAATTTTACCTTGCAAGATGCCCAATCTGCTAAATCAAAGAAACTAAGAATACTATTCAGTAAAATATCCTGAATCAGCCCAGAAACAATACTATTTGTAAAATATCCTGAAACATGTCTAGTAAACTAAACCAAAAAGTTAACAACAATGGCACATGGCCAATAACAGATTTCAATGAATAAAAGTGAAGACAAAAGAGCTTTCAAATCTCATCTTCTTGCTTAAACTCACAAATAGTAAATATCTAAATTTCAAGTAACAATTAAATTTTTATTCACTCTATTGCATCACAGAAAGCTTGCACTAGTTGCTTTGTTCAGGTAAATGAAATTACTCCCAAAGAAAGTGTTTTGTCCCCACAGATTTTACACAAAGCAAAAGACAACATATTAAAAACCCAGTTTTCCACCGTTTTAATTTCCATGTATTACAAAATTACGCTTTAATCATTTACTTGCTCGATCACTCGCACAAAAGGACAAACCTCAGACCATCTATCCATTATAAACAGGACTATGCCTCAATAATTCACCGCAAAGGGCTAATTCACAGCGCTTGCATAACACATAGCATCCTATACGTCATTTGAGAAAATAAAACGTAACTTTTTAAGATCACAAACCGCTTCAAATATTTCGTCACAAATAATTCTAAATCTAACTAACACGAAGAATGTTACAAATTTGATGTTGCACGTTACTAAAACAACAACGAAAAAATACCAAGATCTAACAATCAAAGCAAATTCCACACGTTACGGGATCAAAACCTGGTTAACAACGAAAACATTACAAATAGAAGTTTGTGTTTATACCTTCTGGCGACGGCGGCGGGAGATGAGAGATCAGGCGTCGGTCACCGGAGCTGAGACACCAGGCGGCGGCCAGAGATGAGATACGTGTAAGTGAGATTGTGAGAAGGGAATGAGCAGAAAAAAGAGATGTCCAAGAGAGAGCCGGGTTGAAATTGAATCGGCCTTTACTTCTAAGCCCAAGTTTTTTTTCTTTAGTTTTTTTTAATTCTTTTCAAAGAGCTTATACAAATATTGATTGATGTGAAATTAATAACATAGAATGTGAGATTACTAATACATTAAAATGAAGATTCTTTACATTAAATGTTAGATTTTCGATGAACGTCTTATGTTATGTTACTAATCTCACATTTCATGTTATATTATCAGTTTTCGTAACCTTTTATTTAGTACGACACTAATCTTTTATATTTTGCGATACCAATCATTACACATATTACCAATCCCATATTTAAATAAACCAATTTTATGTTTAATAATTTTTTTATTTAATATATCAAACTCCCAACTCATAGAGTACTAATTGAAAGAAAATTAAATCTTAATTTCATAGAGCATGGATATCACATGACAAAAATTATAATTTTGTTAATTATCCAATCATCCTTCCAATTCTATTTTGATAGCTTCATTACCTTCAATTCAGTCAAAATTCCTAATACTGATATATACTCAAAGGTTTTCAGAATTCAGTTTTGGATTCCAACCTTTTCATTCACAAACAAGCTTCTTTGATGACTTATGTTCTTACTATGTAGACGATATTCTTCTTACTGGTTCAAATGCTTCTTACATTCATCAGTTAGTGCAGGAACTCAATTACCAATTTTCTCTCAGAACACTTAACTAAATATGTCACTGTTCTTATTACAAGAACTAAAATGTTGGAAACTCATGCTTGTTCCACTCCTATAGCTCATAACAGGAGCACTGTAGGGGCATTACAATATACTCTGACTCAATCTGATATTAGTTTTTTAGTTAACAAACTCAGTCAATTTCTACAAGCTCCTAATGAGCTTCAGTGATAAGCTTGCAAAAGACTCTTAAGGTATCTTAAAAGAACCTTAATCATGGTTTACAATTCAAACTAGCAGCTACAATGCATGTGGAGTGTTTTGTTGAGTCGATAAGGGAAGTAGTTTGGAGGATAGAAAATCCACATGTGGTTATTATGTGTATTCAAGTCCTAATCTGATTCAATGGAGTTCAAGAAAGCAAAAGTTTTTGCTTTTTCTCAATAGCGGATCTAGAAATTTTTGTTAGGGTGAGCCAAAATAAAAACTAATTGCATATAACATTCATATTCTATTTTTCTAGTCAAAATTGTCACAAAACGAAAAAAATTACATATTAATATTTTTTAAAAAAAAAATTGAGAGTGGGCCACTCTACATCCACCCCTATCTTTCTTCTACTAAAGTTGAGTATTGAGCTTTAGCTCATCCAGCTACTGAAGTAGCATGGTTGCAAAATGTTTTTCTCTAAGTTAGGCCTAGCATTAGTTGCTTCTTCTATTATTCGGTGTGATAATGTAAGTGCAAATCCTAGGTTTCATGCTCTAACAAAACATATAAAAATTTATGTCGATTACATAAGGGAACAACTTCTTGCTAAGAAATTGTAGTTCAATTGTGCCCTCAAAGCTGCAGATTACTTACATCCTTACAAAAACATTATCAATTGTGNAGTTTAATTGTGTCAAACAAAATCCATCTCTGTTACAAAATGTTTTTTGTGGTTCATATGGTTCCGCACAATCCCCCACGTATCTTCCGAATTCCATCACTACAGGAACTTGTTTGCTTTCTTCCAAAACATTGGGTCTGGCATTGGCTAGGTAGTTTGTCTGGATCCAATCTTGCTCAACCATGACGGCAGATTTGCAGTTCTGGGGAACGTTTATATCAGAAGAAAACTGATGACTTGAAGAAATGGTGCACATGAAATCATAGCAACTATTATTTTTAGCAGGATCACAGGTGCAAATAGGCATACACCAGTTGTTGAATTGATTCGATATCTTCTGAACGTCGTGGTATAATTATTACAACCAGTGGCGATGAACTTATTGAGCTTATATGAAAAGTAAAACGGCGTTCCTGATAGGTTAACACCTTCCGTTTTAATAACATAAGCGCTTAATCCAATGGCCATCCCATTGCTTCGACGAGAGATGTCTTCTGATAAATTCAGGTTCATGCTACTGAAGAAAGGTACT